GTTTAATAGTAACTTTTTTCTTAGAAAAAGAAATCACAGAACATTTATTAATATTAAAATGAAATTTACTACTAATACACCATTGATGTAGACGATCTAAGTCAGACTGAAAATTTATAAAATCATCATGAGAACCAATAGTCATATATAATTTCAGATCATCGGCAAAAAGTAAAAAAGAACAGAATTTAAACGCAGAATTTATGTCATTAATGAATAAAAGAAATAATAAGGGACCCAGGTGAGATCCTTGGGGGACACCAGAAGTTGCCGTAAACATCTCAGAGTAAACACCATCCACACGGACACATAGGCAATTGGCAATTAAGTAGCTTCGAAACCAAGAAACAATATTAGGACCAATGCCCAGTAATTTTAGCTTTTTAAGAAGAATTTCATGATCAATCTTATCGAATGCCTTAGCAAAGTCCGCGTAGACAGCGTCAACCTGATGACCACTCTCGACTGCAGAAACCAAACTTTCATAAAAAATACCAAGATTAGTAGAAGCTGATCTACCCCTAAGAAATCCGTGCTGCTCGTCAATAATCACTCCGGAAACAGATAGATAAAGTTCATCATAGATAATGCTCTCAAAAATCTTGGGGATTGTGCTGAGAATAGTAATTGGTCTATAATTTTTAACATCATTTTTTGATTTATCTTTAAATACAGGAACGACTATTCCTATTTTCCACTGTTTTGGAAAAATGCATTCCCGCACGGACCTAGTAAAAAGTATATATAAGGGTTCGACTAGAGAAGAGCAGCACGACTTAATCAAAGCAGGAGGGATACCATCAGGACCAGCACCAACATTCACATTGCAAGACAATATTTTCTCAGCTATGTCACTTTTGTTAATATGAAAAGAATTAAGACAAACGGAATCGTGCACTTGAAAAGGAGTAGTAACAACATTACTATCATAAGCTTCGTAAACCGATTCAAAATAGGTTGCGAAAAAAGTACTTATATTATCACGATCAGTCGCAACATCACCGTCAAGTGTCATACAGTTGAATTGAATTCAAATTGAATTCTTGCAATGAATTTTATTAAAAAATTTTTTAAAGAATTAAATTCCTGTGAAGAATTTTATTTGTGAAAATAATTGAATTTCAAAGAAAAATATTATTATTTATTAAAATAATTATTCTTGTAAAGAATTTTATTTAAATTTTTTAAAAATAATAATTAAATTTCTCAGCATTTTTTAAACCTTTTTTAAAAAAACTTAAATTCCAAAGAGAAATTTTATTAAAAAATTGAAAACAATTGAAATCTGACGAAGAATTTTATTAAATTTTTTTTAAATAGTTGAATTACTTTCAAAATGTTTATTTTTGAAAGGAATTAAATTCTTGGGGAGAATTTTATTAAAATTTTTTAAAATAATTGAATTCTTTCGGGGAATTTTATTTTTTACGAAAATAATTGAATTATTTCGAAGATTTTTACAAAAACTTTTGACAATAATTGTATTCCAAGGAAGAATGTTATATTTTACGAAAATAATTAAATTCTATGATCAATTTTATTATAATTTTTCAAATTTATAAAGCATTTTATCAAAATTTTTTTAAATAATTGAATTTTCGAGAAAAATTTTATTATTTATGAAAATAATTAATTTCTTGTGAAGAATTTTATTCACATTTTTTAAATAATTGAATTCGCATAAAAAAAATGTACTATTTGTGAAAATAATTGAATTTTTAAGAAGAATTGTATTGAAAATTTTATTAACTAAATCTTGTAAAGAATTTTGTCAAAATTTTTTTAAATAATAGAATTTTGAGAAAAATTTTAATTAAATTTTTCGAAATAATTGAATTTCTTAGAACTATTTTTTTCAATTCTCTGAATATATTTGAATTTTTTCGAGAAATTTCATTAAAAATTGAAAAATAATTGAATCGGTTCGAAGAAATCTATAAAAAATTGCTAAATAATTGAATTCCTGTGAAATTTTTATTAAAATTTTGTTTAAATAATTGAATTCTTTTGGAAAATGTTATTAAAATAGTAGATATTAAAAACAATTGATATAATTATTTCTAAGTAATAATTTTATGGTAGTTCTTGAAGAATTAAGTTATTGAAAAGTGAATTATTGTCAGAAATAGAAAAAATTGAAGGTTTTGTATTAAAATTCTTTGATACAATTTTGTGTTCCAATTTGACATCCATAGAAAAACTGTATGATAGCAACATAATCTTGAGATAATTATTTATTAACAAAAGCAAAAAATTGCAATTTCAAAATTCTCAAAACCAAATAAATAATAAATAACAATTTAATTCCTTTTACTTAACACTTTTCTTCTCAAAAGAAAATTTTCATGTCATATATATATAAAACACCGTAAAACTTTATCTGACGTAATAATTTATCATCTCAATCAAAGAGAAGAAAATTCAGAAAAAGAACATCATTTTTAGAAATTATCAAAATTTACAAACAATAAATATTGTTAAACATCAGACTCAGAAAGTTTGCAAACAGTTACAAGAATAGTGTTATTTAATTATATCGCGAATCTTTTCAAAAATCTTTCTAAAAATCTATCTAAAAATTTTTCTAGAAATAATTTTCTACTTAAAAGAAAAATATAATATCATAAAAAGTGAATAAATTTTGTTTGCTTGTTTATATTTTTCCTTAAGGAATTTTTATTTTATCCTTATATATAATAAGAGAATAAATGTACAAATATATGCATAAATAATTTATGTAACCAAATATTTACATATATGCATTCGTCTATATTGTCTGGAAGACGATAAAAAACGAAATATTCAAAAATTTTTAGAATTCGTCTCAAAAAAAAATGTGCCTGACAGCAAACGAAATAAAATTTTTATCAAGTTGCTTTGTACCAACAGTGTCATAACATGACACGTACGACTCTTATCGGTTGCCTGTACTAAAACTTTATCTGTATTTATCTGACATCTGACAAAAATGTTACAACTTCGTCACAAAAACTGGAAGAGTTCTCTTTTCGTTTTTTTTTTTGTTAAAAATTTTTTTTAACAATTTTTTTTATGGATAGTTTAGTTTTCTTTCTTTATTGCACAATATCGAGAGTGATGTTTGAATTTCTTTGTTCTTGTAAATTTATATCATATAGTTAAATATAATAAGTATTTATAAATATAAATAAAATCAAGTACTTATGTATACACCGAGTTTTAATTACAAAATCGAAATTTTATTTATATTATTATTGAAGATATGAAGAAATTGATAGTTATATTTGATAAAAATCTGTAATAGTAGATAATTCGAATATTATTTTAAAAAAAAGGGGGGAATTTATAAGAAAAGAATCCGACAGAAAATAGGAACCAAAGTAATACATTTTTTATTAAAAGACGTTTTTTAATTTTATATTTAAAAAAATTAAAGAATTTGCTATTTCCTCAAGAGTAGGGTAAAAAATAGAAAACTGAATTTCGATAAAATTTTGGATGTAAGTCAAAAGATTGTCTACCTTCAGTTTATATAGATCTTAATTTAAGTCTTTTTTAAGTCCTTTTATACTGTTTGTCAAAACTTTTTATCTCTCTCAATTATTATTTATCATAATATTTATTTTTCGAATCCTACATTTTGATCTTTCTTTCATGTCTGCATGTTTGTTAAAACTTTAAAAGTGAATTATTACACAATCTTATTATTTAATCAATTTTCCTTTTTTCATATAAATATAAATATTAATATGAATTTCTACTCTGAAAAAACATTTTTCTGAATACATTTTGGTATTAAGACATAATAACCAAAAACTATTTTCTTTGTTCAAAACAGCAACGTTACAAAACATACAGTAAAATTTGTAGGGAGTAAAGTTTTTCAAGTCTTTCACTTCAGAAGTTAAATATCTTAAAACCAAAAAATGATTTTGAAAGGTAGACAATTTTTGTACTATATCGAAAACAAAATTTTAAAAACCTTCTGTAAAAGCTTCAAAGATTTAAAAATACTGTAACATCTATAATATTTTATTCCTTAAATTTTTGGACTAAAACTTTTTCTATCAATAAAAGTATATTTGCCAACCTTGGGTCTTCGTCTTAGTTTCCTAACAATTTTAAATTAAGCAAATATTTTCACTAATGTTCTGTATCAGCTAAAATAAGCATTTACAGATGAATACAGAACATTAGTTAAAATTAGGCTCAATATTTTGTTTTTAAACCCAATTTCACCTGATACAGAACATTAGTTAAGCATTTAGCATTTTTGAAGCCTAATTAGGCATAAAACAAAACATTAAGCCTACAATTTTATTCGATACAAAACGTTAAAGTTAGGCTCAATGTTTTGTTTTAAGCCTAATTTTAGCTGATACAGAACATTAGTTAAAATTAGGCCTAATATTTTGTTTTAAACATAATTTTAGCTGATACAGAACATTAGTTATGCATTTAACTTTGATAACCTTATAGAGAAACTATAATAAGAATTGTTGACTTTTGTAGAAAATAATTTTTATACAATGTTCCCCAACAGCATATCGGATAATCTAATTGTAAGATATCCTACGGATGATCTAGTTAAAGAAACCTGGAAATTGCGCAAAGATTCCTAAGTTTACAACCGTTCAAGTCAAAAGCAAAATGATTCAAAAGCATAAACGATACTTTAAACCTAAAATTAACCATTAAACCTTAATTTTACTACTTAAAGTCATACTCTCAAGATTTAAATTCAACAACAGTCCCAAAGTTTTTCTGATGATATCAAATTGAGACAAAAAGCGCATCAAAAATGTTGCGAAACAACGTTTTTGATGCGTTTTTTGTCTCAATTTGATATCCTTAAGCTTTTGGGACATTTACGGATCCTACGGATACGAAATCCTACAGATTTGGATCGAATAATTTTATTCGGATACCCCTTTTGGAAATGCACATATAGAATAAGAACTTCCCTGATTTATGATTGATCCACTTAATAGAAAAAGGGTAAAATCAAAATTCAAACTCACGTTTTAGTTTCTCCAATGAATCGGGATGTCCCTGATGATTACTGCTGTGCAACATTGAAGCATTATGATGATTATTTTGAATGTTGAGATGTTGCATTGCACCTTGAATGTGATCGGGATGAAGGCCAGCCATTGTGGCAGCCACGTGCTGATGTTGAATCGACAATCCAGGTGCTGAACCACCAACTAAATCCTGGAGGCAAAGTTCTCCATTGCCTCCGGTGCCGCCGGCGAGATCGAGGCTGCTCCCGTCCTCGCCGCGCTCCATACTGTAAAACGTTAACGTCGTGCCGACGATTCCAACCACTTCACCGAAATATCCTACTCGATTGATTTTTACCCCACGTTCTTCACCAATCACTTGTCATCATCATTTTTTTTTTTTTTTTGATTTTGTTTTTAGCAAAAATCGACTTCTCTTTGGCAAAAGATCTTTGACAATCTTGTCACACTCTTGATTATTTATTCTGTAATTATTATTATTAGCTCTTTAAGTTTATAATTAGGTCTTCTTAATTTATTATTAGTATCTGGTTGTCCTAACGGAATGCAAGTTCTTAAATTTTCCGATTTAGTTAATGATCTTACCGATTCTTATCAAGTGTGTGAATTGGTAGATTGGAAAATTTATACTGTGGATTATTTTTAGGATACTATTTAAGTTTGGTTTCTAGAAAATAATTAACTTTAGATTTCAAGAAAGTTATAAATCTTGTTCTAGAGAATTATTTATTTGTGTCAAATTAATCTCGGGCAACTGTTACACCAGCATATTTTGGTTCAAACGTTTAAAATTTTTGTTTCAATCTCTTGACTCTTGGTAAATGCTTCTAATCCTTAATTTTCTCCAATTTTACAGTTTTTGCCAAAATCTTTGTTTTTGGTTCAACAAAATCTTTGGTTTGGTATTTTTAATACTCTTCTACCTTCGAATGCTCTGTCAATACAAGAATTAAAAGATTTTTATTGCACGATCTCTTTAGTTTGTTTTTAAATTCCTTTTCTTCTTCCTTAATTTTTTCTGCTTCTATCCTCAGTTGTACTTTGGATCTTTTGTCTACTTCTTTCTGCTTTTCTTTATTTGGTTTTTTCTTTGGATTTTCTTCTTTCAATTGCACTTTCAAATGATCCTCCTTCTGCTTTGGATAATCCTTTTGCTGTTTTACTTTTGGATGTTCCTTTTGCTGCAGCACTTCTGAACGTTTATCTTTCTGTTGTACTTTTGGATGTTTCTCTTTCTGTTGTACTTTTAGATGTTCTTCTTTCTGTTGTACTTTTGGATCTTCTTTTTGCTGTTCTACTTTTTGGATGTTTTTCCTTCCGTCGCACTTTTGAAGGATTATCTTTTTGCTCCACTTTTGGATGCTCTTCTTTCTGCTGCACTTTTCGAATAACCCTTTTCTTTCTCCTCTACTTTTAGATGTACTTTTTTTTGCTGCACTTTTGAATAGTTGTCTTTCTGCTGCACTTAAGGATCTTCTCCTTTCTATCGCAGTTGTTATTGATCTTTCTTCAACTGCACAATCTCTCTTCAAAAAGTGCAATCTTCTTTCTATTGCACTTTCTTCTAATCTTTCTCTTTGAAAAGCTTTACTTTCTACAAATTTTTTTCTTCAAAAACCTTTCTTTCCCTTTTCTTCTAATCTTTCGCTTCTTGCAGCAGCGAGACAATAACTTATTCACAAATTCTTCTCTAACAACCTGATATGGTACAAAATTAAATCTGATACGGTATACAAAAACACTATCTCTTTTCTATTCCCCAACTTCGCTACAACCACAACTGTTCATAATCCCAACACCGAGAAAATTTCTATAACAAAGAATTTATGCGGATACAGATTGAATCACTAATCACCAATTTGAGTTTACCACCACAATCAACAACTTTTCACAAATCATATCGGAAATATTTTTTCAAAATCGAAAAAGTCCGTTCAGCACTGAATTCGCGACGAGGCACAATCGAGAAACGATTATTCACTGTGTCATCTCTTATCACCGAACAATAAACACGTGCTTCAGGCTCGCCATCAGCAATTGGACAACTAGATAAAACCCGTTGTGTCTCCCTGTTGTCCGCGAGAATACCGTCACGTGCCTTCTCCCCCCTTTGACTACTTTGAAAACAAGAGCGCGCAAAATCCCAATTTGGAAAATGAAAAATCAAATGATGGTTTTTTTGAAATATGGGGTTAAGGAGCACGGATCACGAGGTTAAGGTTACGCGGCTCCTGCTCTCCTTAACGCACACGCGGTCAAGGGAGAGGTGAAAAATATATCAGGTAGGTCGTAGGAGATGGCCTGACGATGTTAGGTATAGTAGGTGGTGGAGTTTGTCGAGAGAGTTGGTGGGTCGGGTCGTCTAGGCTTAGCCAGTTGAGCCTCTCGGACTGCCTGCCGGCTTAAGTCTCGTAAGTCGGTAAGCCGAGCGGATCTAGTGGTCTTGGCTGCTGCACTGGCTGCCTTAGTTGCTTGCCGGGCGGCCTGCCTGACTGTCTGACTGCGCCTCTCTCCTGTTCTCGCCGATCTTACTCCCCCTCAGGTCTCTCTCTCCACATATAGTATCCCGCGAAAACCCCGCCAACGACGAGGCTCGTGTCATCCCGCCTCTTGTCAAACCCCTCTCTCTCTCTCTCTCTCTCTCTCTCTCTCTCTCTCTCTCTCTCTCTCTCTCTCTCTCTTTCTCTCTCTCTACTCTCTACTATCTCTCTCTTTCTCTCACTCTACTATCTCTCTCTCTCTCTTTCTCTACTCTCTTTCTCTCTCTACTCTCGACTCTACTCCCGAACGGGTCCCTTCTCGTAAAAGCAAGATAGGAAGCACCCCAAACAAGATAGGGAGAGAAATAGTGAGAGAGACAGAAAGAGAGAGAGGAGAGCCAGCAAGATAGGGAGAGAAAGAGCGAGAGAGACAGAAAGAGAGAGAGAGAGGAGATCAAGCAAGATAGAAAGAGAAAGAGTGAGAGAGACAGAGAGAGGAGAGCAAGGAAGATAGGGAGAGAAAGAGTGAGAGAGAGAGGGGAGAGTTGACTAGTTCGGATGCGCCAAAGTTTCATCCCTCCTACACCCTATTCCTTCACCCTCTAAAGTTTACTAACACACACTGTCTCGCATTCCCACCCCTGCGATACAATGAGAAAGCCCCACCCCGTTTCTAACGTCCCAAGGATCATTGCCTCTCTCGCTTACTTCTCTCCTTACTTCCCTACTCACTCTCTCTCTCTCTCTCTACTATATATATTACATGTAGCCCAAAGATTTTCCTGTTGTGGGAATTTTCGATTTTCTCCGCGCTTTTTTTTCCTTTGGAAAAGAGAATATTCTTTTCTTTTCTTTTATTTCAAGAGAAAAATATTCGATTCGATGTATATATAGCGCAGGAGAAATCCTTTAGGAAAAAAAAATTTCAAGAAAGGTATTTTGATGGGGTCTCGTTTTGAAATTGAGTTGTGGACCGTGGGGAATTCTCTTGATTCAGTATTATATATGTGTATATATATATATATAAGAGTAGTAGGTGAAAATATATAAATTCTCACGAACTGTTATTTGTCATTTGCAGCTTTCCTTTCGGTTCTTCTAAAAACTTTCTGCTATAGTAGAAATTATATATATCTTAAGAATTCTTTAATTCACAGCCACACAAAAAAATAAAAGCATCCTGGCCGAGGAATGAGACCACCCTTTTCTTATGTATTTTGATGCGCTGAACACGAATCTGAAGTCCGTTATGCTCCATCACGTCAGGATTTTGACATAACCTCAAAAAACAGCGGATTTTAAATGACAGGAGAACTTTTTTAAATAATGACAGATTTGCTTGAATCTTATTACTCGGAGGCTTTTGGGGTCGCTGATTACGAATTTAACGTCAGATTTATAAAATTCAAAATGGTGGATCCAATATGGCGGACGAATTTTTAAAAAATGGTTGGATTTTTACGAAAATTGGTATCTAGAGGCTTTTGGGGTCGCTGATTACGAATTTAACGTTATAGATTTATAAAATTCAAAATGGCGGACGAATTTTTAAAAATAGTTGGATTTTTACAAAAATTCGTATCTATAAAATCTGACGTTAAATTCGTAATCAGCGACACCAAAAACACCCAGATACTAATTTTCGTAAAATTCCAACTATTTTTTAAAAATTCGTCCGCCATATTGGATCCGCCATTTTGAATTTCATAAATCTGACGTTAAATTCGTAATCAGCGACCCCAAAAACCTCCGAGTAATAAGATTCAAGCAAATCTGTCATGATTTAAAAAAGTTCTCCTGTCACTTAAAATACGCTGTTTTTTGAGGTTATGTCAAAATCTTGACGTGATGGAGCAAAACGGACTTCAGATTCGTGTTCAGGGCATCAAAATACATAAGGAAAGGGTGGTCTCGTTCCTCGGCCAGGGTACTTTTATTTTTTGTGTGGCTGTGTTATATATACTAAAATAGTACTTTTAAGACTTTGACAACTCTTCTAAAAAAAATAAATTCTTCTTTAATGTGCGACTATAGTCAAAATATATATATTTTTTTAAAGAATTCAATTTTCATAAAAAATAATTTTAAATTCTAAAAAATAATAATTGAATTAAAATGATGTAAATAATTATATTAAATAAATAAATAAATATTCTTATAATATAAAATAATGATTTTATTACTTGGTCATCTTGAATTATTATAAATTATTTAATTTAAAAACGGTTTGAATTTGAATCTTTTCAATGTCTTAATTCCTGCGTGGAAAATCCTATTTCAAAAATAAGATTTAAAAATAGCGAATTGTGCAAACATTTGTCTTCTTTCTCTAAAACAAAATAATAAGTTTATTAAAAAAAAATTGTGATTCATAAACAAAAATAATGGAAAAAAAATAAATTTTCTAGTTGTTTAACAATTTTCTAATTTTCTTTAGAAGTTAAAAGAACGAAAATCTGCATAATTTCAATTTGACAAAACAAAAATTTTAGTCTTTTAATGAAAAGAAGTGAAAAAAATTCTTGATTTCTATTTGTCATTACAATTTTGAATTAATTATATAATAAAAATAATTATAACAATAATATAATATACAATCTATCTAAAAGATAATAAAAAACAAAAGTATAAAGATAAACAAAAAAAACAACTTCAGAGTGTTCAATTATTTTCACAAATAATAAAACTCATTGCAGGATTTCAATTATTTTTAATACAATTTTTAAATGAATTCTGCGAAAAATGCAACTATTTTAAAAAATTATAATAAAATTCTTTAAAAGAATTCAATTATTTCCATAAATATGTATAGAATTCTTCTTAGGAATTCAATTATTTTTATATAAATATTAAAACTCATTCGCAGAATTTCAATTATTGTTAATACAATTTTTGAATAAATTCCGCGAAATATTTTGAAAAATTGTGAAAATAATTAAAATTTTTGCGAAGAATTTTATTAAACTTTTTTTTAAAATAATTGAATTTTTTCAGAGAATTTAATTTTATTTAATAATTGAACTGTTTTTAAAAATTTTAATAAAATTCCTTGAGAGAATTCAATTATTTAAAAAAAAAAAATTTAATGAAATTCTTTTTATAATAATTAAATTGTTTTCAATATAATTTTAATAAAATTTTTTGATTGAATTCAATTATTTAAAAAAATTTTTAAGAATTTCTTTATGATAATTGAATTGTTTTCAATACAAATTTTAATAAAATTTTCTAAAAGCCCAGGCGGAAATTTCCAACCGGCGCGGATCCTAGCCCGTACTGACGCCGGTGTAACTGTACTGGCTCGGAACCGCCTGCCAACCGAATGTGAACGGGCATTCTACCGAATAGTGACTAGGCCAGGAGCGCGCTGGCAACCGGCTCGGAACTGGCATTCTACCGCCCGCTGACCGGCCGGGAGAAGCCGTTCCGTGTATAATTCAACCGGCTGGGATCTGGCACTCTACCGACCGCGGATTTTTCATTTAATAGCCAGCTGAGCGCTGGCATTCTACCGACTGACAACCGGGTCGGATCCAAATGATAATTTCAACAAATATCAATAAAAAAATAATAATTAATTGCAAAAGATAAATACTGATGACAATTCATTGACAGTTCACTTTACACATTTTTTTTATTTTTTTATACACTTAAACGCAATTTTTTATTACATAGACATTTGAAAAATCCTAACGCTTGGGGGTACGGAACCTACGCCTAACCGAATATTTGCGCATCGAAATCTCGCACGCTAACCACTATGCTACGCTCGCATGGGACTCTCAAATCTTAAATACTCTCAAGTGTCACTAGCTCAAATAAAACTTGCAGAATTACTACGCGTCAATGATACCGCTATATTTTCAATACTTTATTGAATGTATATTTAGGACTATTTCAATATTTCGTTAAAAAAGAAACTTGTTATATTTTTATTATTATATAATACATATTATATTGAATAATTGTTTTTCAATATAATAATATTGAACGTAATAATATTAATAATTTTAATTAACATCTCAATAATAATAAATTTAGTATTATTAAGATATTATTAATTAATTTTATATATTATTAATTAACACTAATATTATTGAGAATTAATAATAAATTATCAATATTAATATTAATTAATAATATATCAATAACCATAAATTTATTATTATTGAGATATTAATTAAAATTATTAATATCATTACCTTCAATATTATTATATTGAGAAACAATTATTCAATTATTATTGAGATATTATTAATTAATAATATATAATATTAATTAATAACGAATTTTTTTAATTATTTAATTTTTAAAAAAGTCTCAATAAATAATTACTTAATATATTGATTAGATTAATTTATTAATAATTATTTTCTAAAATAATGCAATTACTTGTAATAATTATTTAATTTATAATGTGACAATAAATGACGAGATCCGCAGTCGGATCCGCCCCAGTACCGAGCCAGTACAGACTCAACATATCCGTCATTCTTCCGACGCCGCAGAAGAATAAGATCCGCCGGCGGAAGAAATCCAGTACCGAGCCAGTACTGACAATAGTGGGAAGACGGTTCCGACAGTCGGAGCATAATCTGTACCGCGCCGGTTGCTTTTTCAGATCCGAATCGGTACAGACCGTCGGTACTTGCGGTCTGTACGGGCGCGGATCCCAGCCGGTTGTAAATTCCGACATTCGTCCGACTTTTCCGCCTGGGAGAATTCAATTATTTTCGTAATAATTTGTTTCTTAGAGTGTAATAATTATTTTTAATGAGTTTTATTATTAACGAAAATAATTGAATTATTGCGAAGAATTTAAAAAAAAAGTTGCAATAAACAATTCATTGTTTTCGAAGACATTTATGTAAATTCTATTTTTAATAATTGAATTCAAGTGGAATTTTCATATATATTTTAGAAAATAATTGAATATTCTTGTAGAACTTTGTCAAAATGTTTTTTTAAATAATTGAATTTGTTTGGGAAAAATTAAAAAAAAATAATTAACATTTTGACATGAATTTTATTAAAATTGTTGAAAGCAATTGAATGTTATTTCTTTTTAAAACAATTGAATTTACTATTATTTATAAAATA